TGAAGAACCAACTTTAAAGAGTGGCTTATAATTATACAATTTAAACAGTATATGGGAGCTCAATCTTCTTACATACTTTGTTTTTAAGGATATTTTTAAATAGCCTGTTAACAGGAAAATTGGCCCTTTTCATTTGCTGATCATCAAAAGAATAGGGATCTAAATGGCACCCAAATGTATCTATAATCACTCAGAAAAAATGGCTTGTGTCTGCCTTTGGAACACATTAAATATATTCTCTTATAGGTAGTGAAGTCCTATCTCAGGTCATTATAGAGGTTGGCAGCATGGAGTTCAACTCTGCAAGCTAAAAAAAAAAAAAAAATACAGAAGGCGAAGCTGTTTCATAAGGACTGACTATACAAACAGTCCAACATATTTACCTGTGTTTCTTAGAGTTGAGATGTGCCTTGATGTTCAAATTAAAATAGCACCCAACCCCATAGTAGATCACTTCATACTTAATGATAAAAAACCTCATTTTATTTTTAAAGTTGTAGTATATAAGTATCACAAAATCATGAGGCCAGTTCTTAAATATCAAAGGACAAAGGGCCAAAAACCTGATGGAAAAATGGAGAAAGAGTGAGCAATTCACAAAAGTATAAAATATTTCTAAAATGTATTTTTAAAATTAAAACTGTAAGATGATGGATAAGTTAATTTGCTTCACTATACTAACCTTCTTACTGTTTTTATCTTATAACATCATGTTATATATATAAATACAATAAAATTTTTATTTTAAATAAATTCAAACAATTAGAGAAATGTAAATTAAAACATGTCATTTCTCACCTATAAAACTGGATGACAGGTAGAGGTTCAACAACACCATATTCTCTTAGTGAGGCACCCTTGTGCATTGTTGAGAGTACAAACTGGGAACTACCTTTCTGGAAGGGAACTTGGCAGTACCTAATAAAATTACATACTTACTGTTGGCCCAGCAATCCCACTTGAGGAATGTACTCCAGTGATAGTCTCCAGTGGTGCCCACGCTCATAGCACAAGGTTAGTCTGCAACCTTGATTGTAATTGCAAAGTATTGGGAATTACCTAAATATGTACATAGACAGGACAATGATTCGTAAACAGTGTAGATCCACACAATAGAGTCCTACATGGCTATAAAACAAAAAGTATGGACCGAGATATGTATGAACTGATCTCATAATTTCCAGAATATCTAGTTAAGTGAGAAAAGCCAAGTGCAAGAATGTTGACAGTTTATACCCAATTTCATAAGATAAAGAAGGTAATGTAAGAAAATAGACATCTGTCTGCTCATCTGTTCAAAAGGAACACAGGAAGAATAAACCTGAAACTAGGCAGACTGGGTGGGGTTTGGGTAGAGAGGATTGGGAATGGGGCAGGTGACACTTTTCAGTATACTACCTTTATTACAAATGAGTAACATTACCACACCTCATGAGGGGGTAAGGAAAAAGTCAACGTACGTAACTTTGGAAGCTACGTATACCATAAGACAAAAAGAACTATACCCAAATACTGTAACTAGTTAAGGGGTCTGAGTTAGCAATTCTAGAACTGCCCTTGCTTATGCAGGATGTGGAAAGTGAGCAAAGGTTTTATCAAGAAAGGTGTTGCAAGCAAACAGGCTAGAATGGAGATTGGAATTCATACACTGTCGATGCATGAACTTTCATGGGTACACTTACAGTGAGTGTACACGTGTGCTTTCCAGGGTTGTTCACTGAGAGGTCCCAGCACCAAGGAGCACACCGGCTGCCCAGATATTGGTTCCTAAATATCATTCTCTAATAAAGGGAACTAGGACACCTTGGCAAAATTGATTCCAGGGCTGGAGCAGAGAAATTAGGAAATGAGCCTGGAGCATCCCGTGATGCCAAGGAAAAGTAAGGAAGTATTCACAGAGGGGAGAAGGAGCATGTCAAAGGACACAGTAGCAAACTGGCTTTTTATGGTCAAATCTGGGACAATTGAAAAAAACAGATGCTCATAATGGATTGTAAACCATGCAACAAGATAAATACCCATGATTTTGTGCCCTAAATGGTTGAGTAAGAGGCAGGAAGGTGCAGCTCTTCCTCACATCAGAATACCAGATAGTAAAGATAAAAGGCATGTATACAGAAAGTCAACAACACAATCATTGTTCAAGGCGAGAACCAATGAATGCAAACATTAATGGGCAAAAGCATGAGAAACAGGTATGTGCATGGTCTCCAATAATCTTTCCACACAGAAGGAGAGATTGGACTTGACAGTGGGACAACCTGGCAGACAAGTGACATCATCCAGCCGCGAGCGAGGATGGCACAAATCTCCCAATGGGAGGCACTGAGGAGAGCACGGTTCTGCAGTATTACCAAAAATGTACACATTGAGCCTGATCGTGAGAAACCTCACACCCAAACAGCGACATTCTGCAAAATGACCGGTACTCTTCACATACAAGTCATGAGAAAAATGAACTGTCGCAGACTGAAGCAGGTAAGGAGGCAACTAAATGCAGTGTGGGTTGCTGGATCAGAACCCAGACCCATTAGCAGGAAACATGGTAAATATGAGTAAGGTCTGTAATTAATTAGTTCTTATGGACGTGTAAGAGGCTAACACTGGGGGGAGGCAGGTGACAAGTACATGGAAACTGCTGCTTTTAAAACTGTCTAAAATTATTTTGAATAATAAAAAATGAATCCTACAAAATTCAGTGCAGTAAAATAAAATTGCAGTAGCCTCATTTTTCCTTCTACCAATGCTAATTTCTTCCCTCACACAATTGTCCATCTTCAGATAGGGCTTCATAATTAGCTGAATGAATACACTTTCAAGGCAAGTATGCTTTCTCAAATTCTGTGTAAAATGTACAAGGACACATTGGGCTCATCGAGCTTAGAAGCCAATGTTTATTTTCATGGATGTTAAAACGTAAAGCGTAAAGTCTTTCTGAGGAATTGTATTATCCTATTTTAAGAGTACGGTTGGCCTTCCATCTGTGAGTTCCACATCCGTGAATTTAACCAACTTCAGATTGAAAATATTTGGAGGGGAGGAACCATGATTCTATCTGTGCTGAACATGTACAGATTCTTCTTGTCCTTGTTTCCTAAATAATGCAGTATAACAACTATTTACATAGCATTACATTATAGTAGGTATTATAATCTACCAGTGATTTAAATAAGTAGGAGGCTGTGCATAGGTTATATGCAAATACTGTTCCATTTTATGCCAGAGACCTCAACGATCTGTGGATTTGGTATCATTGGAGTCCTGGAACTGAACCCCCACAGATACCAAGGGATGACTGTATATTAGTAATAAGAATCTTACAGATTTATCCAGTGTATTGGTTTTCTCTTGCTACTGTTATAATCACCACATATGTGACATAAACAAATTTATTATGTTACAGTGCTGGAGGTCAGGAGTCTCACTAAACTAAAATCACAGTATCAGCTAGGTTGTATTTGTTTCTGGACGTTAGAGGGGATAATCCATTTTCTTTCCAGGGTTTAAGGGGGATCTGAATGCAATGGCTTGCAGCCTCTTCCTCCGTCTTCACCCCATCAACTGTCCAGTTGAGTCCTTTATATATTACATCTCTTCACTCCTGACACTATTCTCCTTTCTTCACTTTTAAGAACCTTCATAATAACTTTTGGCACACCTGGTAATCCAAAATAATCTCCCCACCTCAAAATCAGCTAATAAGCAAACTTAATTCTTTCTACAACTT